ATCAAAGGAATATCTACTGAGCCAGAAACTAAGTACAACTAGAAAACAAGTGAGACTTTCCACAGGCTCAACAAACACATGAGTACGATAGGTTTGACTGAAGAACTACTGTGCAGGATCTGTCAGGAAGTGGAGGAAACAGTAGTACACATACTTTGCCACTGTGAGGGCTTGTCAAGAGTAAGGTTCCTTACGCTGGATGAGGAGAAACCAAGAGCCCAAAGTTACACAGGGGATCTGAAAGTTATCCTATGGAGTCTCATAGAAAAGAAAGAACTCTGAACGATTCTGAGGGCAGACACAATCGATCTGAGAAGGTCGCGGTGTGGAGGCAGATAGCCCAATTCTAAATCTAATCACAATCTATTCTGGACAGAGGCTTACGGTACTTTCTCCTCCCGTATTTTCCTCGCGAAATGTCGATCATTTTCAATTTCTCGAATACATTGTTCAATTTTGTTGATAGATTAAATCACCTTCAACTGAGCTAAAATGGACATTTTTCAGAATAATCGACCCGAAATAGAAGCTTTCATAGATTTTTTGCATAGCCATAGACATCTTCATTGTAACTCGATATTAAATATAGAGTTGGAAACTGACCATACCAAAGGGCTTCATTCGAAATAAATTCATTATCGGTTATAATTGCACAAGTGCATGAAAATTACCGATAGGTAACTTTGCAAGAAAGCGTGTTAGGTATTTGAATTTGTATAAGATAACACGCTTCAATGCAAAATTAACTGATAATTTTTATGCATGAATGTAATTCATTGGAATATTCCACGAATAAAGAAATTCTCGAAGGAAGGTTGATTGTTTTTCTGAGAAATATCATAATACCGACAAAGACGATATATGAAATTTGCTATGAAAATGCTCAGATTTTGAACTATATCTGACATTTATTTGTATTATCTACTGGCGACAACTGGTACTGGTACTGGTACTGGTGGGGGACGTTGCCACGTCAGCAACTAGTCCCCAATGGGACCTTTTTGCCAACCCCAAGTGTTTTCAATGACTGATGTGGTTCGCTCAAGAGAGCTGGCTAACATCCTTTTCAGGCACCGCCCATCAGCTCTCTTTTTCAGAGTTTTTCAGCTGTGTTTTGTAGGCTAGTAATGTACTCACTACCATATGCGCAGTGGCAGGCCTGCTAACTATCATCGTTAACCCCCGAGACCGAGGTCTACTTAAGCAGCTGGCCCGCTCTCACGCTCAGCTGGTAGTTTTCCACACCCACCTACATACACGTAGGCTAGTAATGTACTCACTACCATATGCGCAGTGGCAGGCCTGCTAACTATCATCGTTAACCCCCGAGACCGAGGTCTACTTAAGCAGCTGGCCTGCTCTCACGCTCAGCTGGTAGTTTTCCACACCCACCTACATACACCGTCCTACTTCTTCTCTGATGCTCACAACCACATCATCATATCTTTCTGCGTGTTCTGTGTAGGCTTTGTTACTAACTCCATGCGCCACTTTAGGAGCAGCACTGTTAATTGGAACGCAACAGCGAATCGTGCAGGACTATCCCCAGCCGATGCTCCGAAACCTTACAATATTTAATTCGTAAATAAAATATTGAAAAAAGTTCCTTGCCCGTGCTGGAAATCGAACCCAGCACGGGTGACAAGGTTTCAAATGTGTTGTTATGGCAACGGGATGTTTTCACAATGCAATCTTTGCTCTGTAGTTCAATTACCGCTGTAATTATTCGATAATTGCATTGCTCCTATGGAACATTTTATACAGGGTATTATCAGAATCAGACCTGGGCATTATTTGTATTCACAAATACTTTTTAGTTTTCAAATACTTTTCGGTATTTAAATACCGAGTATTTAAATACTTTCTGGTTCAGGTAATTATATTTATACTATAAAAATGCCCCAGGTTTTTTGTTTCAAGATTCATTTCAATTCTACTACCAGAATATGATTCTCCAAATATATTTACATTAGAAAGTTATTCTTCCGTTGAACGAACCGTTTTCGAGACGAGTGTCATTTTTCATTTTGATGTCCCAAAAATTCACAATGATTTTGAGCATTTATGTTCTTGAGAAAAAAAATCAACTTGTTAATTATAATTTTACATTTTCAGTTGATTTTGTTTCATTAGAGTGTATTGTGATATTTATTTCTTGAGTGAATGAGTTTGTAAAATTTAGTCATTTTCCGTTACAGATATGAGAAGAATATTCATTGAAATTTCATGCAAGTGAAGTATCAACTAATTATAACGAAACATGAAGGATATATTGAGAATTTACATCAAAATTCTCCAGGACATACGTTATGTTTCGCTAACAAAGCAGCTCCTTCAGGTGAAATGATGAATACTAGTACCATAAATTAACCAAATGTGACTTTATAATATTTTTTATCAAAGGTGAAGTATGCAGAGCCGGTTGCAAATTTCGAACAGAGCATTTACAAAAATTGTAGTTTATCGAACGGCACCTGAGCCATTCACTACCCTGAGCAAATTGATAGAAAAGTTGCACTTTCCTGTGCGGAAATTTGCACTCGATTTCGCGATTTGACAACGAGATAAGAATTATGCCATACGATACCAATTCAATGGTAGATCTCAAAAACCTAAGTGTGCCAGCCCCCCAGCGTGAGCCAAATCTACGGAACAGCGAAGGAAAGTGCTATTTTTCAATCATTTTACTCAGGATAGTGATTGGCACGGGTGTCGTTCGATGAACTACAATGTTTTCACATTCCTACTAATAGCATTTTATGAAAATCTTATCTTTTCTGACTTTTTTTCTGTTAACCCATTTAATCCCAAGTATACGAAAAATATGATAACATGTGTTTTAGACAAGAAATATTTATTATCTTACATTCTGAAATGAGTTTTCGTGATCATCGACAGTGGAAAAAACTAACTTCACAAAAAATTACAATGGTTCATACACGCACCACTGGCAAGAAAAGTAAGAAAATATTTTTTTTTAATTTTCGAAAAACTAGTTCCAATCATTAAATTGCTAATGAAGAGCGATAACCATACACTAAAATGAAAAATAAAATAGTTGGGCCCCAATGAGTTGAAAATAAACTAGGTGATCTCAATTTGCTCATTGGTGCACGAACGAACCACTGGTAGGAAGTAACAATCAAATAATCTACCTTTGGTGATATTTTGCGAAGCATGATACGTGCAAATGTTCGTTACATTATCGACAAATATAAATTGGGTGATTATGACAAACTCTACATCTTCTTTGAGCTTTATTTCCATGAGGTATAAGAATATGGCCAAGGTTATGGAAACAAATTTCAGCAACAGGGCGAGGTATATTTCTCACAACGTATACTGTCTCATTTTTCAAAGAGACGTAGGGCAACGTATGATCTGAATTCAATTTGTGACATTTTGGTTTGATTAGCCACATTATAGAGCTTCCAAGCATTGACAATTATACTATCTAGAGCATTGCGAAACATGGGCCACCACCATGCATTTCTTCCCCAACACTCTACATCTATAATTTGCAATACCATTATCATGGAGGTCCATCCCATGGATCGGTCATGGCATGAGGCTGGGGAATATTGACTTCTTTTTTCTCCTTCCGATTATATCGTTTCACGAGATGAATTGGTTGTACTTTGATATGAATATTCATGTCCCTCCAATTCTAGTTCATCAATTGCTTCCTCTAGAGCTGATAGTAGTTCTTTTGGGGTCAAAAACTTTCTGGAAGACATTTTTAGTCACTACAATAAGCGAAAAACTATCCCACACCACTAACGAATTGGTTATGAATCATTCTGAGCTAGTCTTACAGCTAAGTAAATCTTGTCTGAGCATGTCGAAATATTGTTGGAGCTCACGCAGGATACCAGTGGTGCGCAAACGCACCTATGTTTTTATTACTGCTGAAATTCTCTAATTTTTTATTTTAACAAATTGATGTGTGATATATCATATTGAGTCACTAAAAGACTACACATTGATAGAAACTGGGATAGAAAATATTTTTCCAAAGTCACATTTTGTCAGTGGTAACGAAATGTATATAGCCAAAGTAATGGAGAAGACCACTGAGGGAAGAAATCCGTGCAAACCTCTTTCAATCGACGAATCATGATTTACGTTTCATGTACAGTCAATATTATGAGTTGAAGTTGAAGGGAATCGAATCTATATCGTTCCGAAATCAGCATATTTCATTCGATATTTCAAAAAGCCAAATATGATGGTGAAGCTGTGACGTATTAGTCCCGAACTGTAGCTATCCCTCTCTGATACCTCGTCATTCTGCAGTGTTGCAGTGTGATTGGTCAGTTCAAGGGCAATAGGCGTGTTGGGACTAAGACGTCGCACCAGTCACACCAATGAATTGACAAAAATTCAAATGGCGCAGAAATTGTGTGTTTTAAAATGGACATATTCTAATTTATTTTTTTCATCGTCTTAGCATGACTAAAAAAATTCAAAATTCATTCACTGGTAGTTTTTCAGTATAGAGATCACAATAATGTCGTTTTAAAAAATCAGTGGTCTCCCCCAGTTTCACCCTACTTCGAAGTACACTAACATCTGATTTTTTTTCTCTGATATAACGTTTTATATTTTTTCTCAACAGTATAAGAACACTGTGAGTTAATAACGACTGAGTTTCGCGATATCAACTTATTATTATTTATTATATTGCTGGCAAAAAAATAACAAAATTGCGGTGCGTGAGCGCACCATTGGGAGATAATGGGTTAATATGGATTTTCATCAAGTAACGATCTAGTCGCTATAAAAAACTGTAAAACAACTCAGAACTTTCTTTCTCCCTCAACACATTCCACTTCGGGTATGGATTATTTCAGTGAATTACCTGCAAAAATAGCACACAGCTCCCAATGTACAATTCTCGGAGAGAGCAACTAGCAGATCGGACTCTCTGTGCGCGATGCTTCTGCAAGGCAACCCCGCGAAAACGTCATCATGAACGTCACCATCACCCTCATCCGTACCTTCAGCTTCGGTGTCTGTGTCGCTGAAGCTGCCGTCGGTGGACTCTAACGAGTTGGCACGCTTCTCGTGCTCATGGTTTTCCCCGAACGTAGGATCAACGTAGTGTAGCCAGAACAACGAGGACCTGGTCTCAAGAGACTTCATCCACTGGGACAGCAGACTAGGTGATTCGTTGTTGTAATCGCTGTAGTCCTGTTCGGTTATGTTTTCTCTTCGTTTGGTAGTCATATTCAGCGCTGGCATATGGCCGGTCGTCTAGCCAGAATTATCTTCGCTGGAGACCATCACGGCACACTTCGGATGTCACACTCGCGGAACTTAGACAATTGTCTTCAGATAACTGACTGAATTCAGGTGAGGTAGGAGTTTGTTACACTAGCGCCTACAGACATGAGGAAATAAATAATCATCGCGGTGTATGGGAGGGCGAGAGCGCGACTTCAGCGACTATTATTCACCAATCTTTAGGCATGTGCGTGGCGTAGTTGCTTGAGTATTTGAGTTACACGCTGGCGACCCAGGTTCAATGCCTAGGACGGACGTTTTTTTTTCAATCTATTTTCTAGACTGACTTTTCGACGTTTTAGGAAGAAGGTTCATTTAGACCAAGCAACGTTAGTTTGTTCAAGAAACGAAGGCACTTTCCTTATGCAGAAGCGCTATTTTCCTTCCTCCCTGGAAAAAGAACTCTGTTGGAGGCATTTACTGTTGAGGCCTATAGTGATTCGCTATTTCAATTAAGTTTTCTTTCAGGAAATTTTCTGTAGACTTGATTGATTGATGATTATTCATTTCCTCCTGTTTGTAGACGCAAATGTTTGTTACTGTTTCATTCCCCAAATAATAAATAGTTATAAAAGCGGATATCGAGTTCTGTGATTTCGGGTGTTGTGATATTAGTGATTCTCATTTCAATTCAAACACAATATCCTTTTCATTCCACTGATATTCGTACCTGAGTTTTTTCCTAATATGACTTGTGGGTCGCACGAAAGATATTCTTCATTATTTTTATCGAAAATTGTGCGTACTTTTGGTGGTTAGAAGGAGGAAGTAGGGGAGATTATTGAATTTCTGGAAGAAAACACAGCATAGTGAGTACCATAATTCGCAGAATTGTGGATAGGACAGGTCGAGGAGTAGGTGGTAAGTCTTAACAGGTCATTGACATGAAGTAGAAACAATATTGATGCCAAAAAGAATGATTGCAGCATTCGCCTATGGCTCATGCTTCAAACTTCATTCTCGTAGGAAATCATTATTATTCCGTGCTCGTTAAACAACTATTTATGTATCGATGGAACTTCAATTCTACATCAGATTGACTTCTTAGATCTTGGATCCAGAATTGAGAATCATAATGATTAAACATTTGTCCATGAGACACAATACAAAATACGAGGTAATACGATACAAGACTCGGAAACCTGTCTTATACTCTGACGACGCGGGTGTAAGTTGATTCTTAACAACCTTCCCTTTATCGAGAACTAAATGATGTTCAGGACTAGGGTATGGGATGAAAGATCCAGTGAATATAACCATGACAAGACATGTTTCCACTTCTTCCCATCATATCGAGAGGTCAATAAATGGAGAAATCTGTCCAAGAATAGGCTGCAAAATGAGAATTGAAAGAAAATATCAGTCAACAACTGATATAGCTACCACAATTATTCATCAGAGTCAGACGAACTTCACCCTAGTATAGTGTATATAATGTAATTGCCAATGAAGCCCTTAGGAGAAAAAAGGTATACCAAGAGATAAAATTATATCTTTTACGCTATATGAGTGACTATTCAAAAAGATCACCAAAGAGAGGAAACAGTCAGAAGCGAAAAAAAATCAGATGACAGTGATCAGGGAATACACTCATTGGAACATTATTCAATTATTTCGATATCCTCAAGATAGTGTTTTTCTTTATGTTCTGGTCCCACGAAAAGGAATATCCAGTAATATTCAGAGAACCAAGGGAAATAAGGAAGGAATTGGTGTTCTTCTCAAATTTCTGGAGGATATATGCCTCGGGGAACACCTCCCTTAGCAATGTGTTCCAGAGCATCGCTGTTCGTTGGATGAACGAGTCTTTGGAAAGAGATGTTCTGCGGGTCTCCAGAGTGACCACGAAGGGGTGCGAAGCCTCAACTCGACAAGTTAATCTCGCGGGGACTGCCAAGGTAGGAACAATTGCTGATATTTCAGAAGAGCACCATCCATGAAAATGTTTATGAAATAGAGCCAGATCGCCAACTTTTCTACGGTGTTCCAGAGAAGTGAGTGAGTTTGTGAGCGATGTAGGAACAATTGTTGATATTTCAGAAGAGCACCGTCCATGAAAATGTCTATGAAATAGAGCCAGATCGCCAACTTTTCTACGGTGTTCCAGAGAAGTGAGTGAGTTTGTGAGCGAGGCATCACCCACGAGACGAATTGTCCTTTTTTGGACAGAATCCAACAGTTTCACGGTATGTTTGGGTGCTGCACTCCAAATATCGGAAAAGTATTCCAGGACAGGTCGGATCTGTGCCTTATAGATCATAAGCAGCTGACTGGAAGTGAAATAGCTCCTGGACCGAAACAGATAACCAAGTTTTTAGGGTGATTATAAAATTTAATAAAAATTTTGGCGAGCGATATGGAACATACAAGCGTTCCTCAACCGAGCTCCCAATCAATAATATTTGTGACCTTCGTTTCCTGAAACCCATATTCAAGAACCCAAAAATCAACGTTGATTAGGCGTGAGATGAAAAAAAAAACAGTTTCCTGAGTTTTATAACGCAATGGTTATTTCAAATAACTGCATGCATATGGAAATATAGATCAAATTCAGATTCTCCCACGATAATTATTATGAACAAAAACAATTCGATATACATATATTATTAGTGAAGTGAAACCTTCTCATATCTCTCAATCATTAGTAAATACTTTTTGTCGGTGGATATTGAGGAAACTGAAAGAGACATGATGAGAAACATTTTTTCATCGTATAAAAGGCTTGAAGAAAATACACAAGATACATTCTAAATATCATCAAGGATACGGAGTGAAAGTGGAATTGTGGTCAGAAAAATACTGAATGATTGGGATTGTAAAATGAAGATTACTCTAAATTACTTTAAGAGCATCTCTATAATGACCAATATGAAAACTGTTTTTATCGACAGCAATTTCAAGCAGATGTCGTGAAATTCACATAATGTATGTTATCAAATTGATGTTGTATATGAAGAAACTGAACAAACAACTACATTGTGTTTGCTTTCGAAATTTCAAGAATTCCGTGGTAACTATGTATGGTATCATGGTAAAAATTTTTAGAGTGACATAATTTCCAAACATACAAGATGTGATGTAGCATCATCTCTTCATATTTGAATGAATGTGGTATTCGTTCCTGATGGAAAAGGTTTCAGAACAGCTGGAGAGAGGCTCCTGGAATGAGGCAGTCCAACAAGCTCCACATAGGAAATCCGTCACGAAGATACACCAATGCCTTTTTGGCTCTGAACAGGATGGAGTTGAAACTAGTGGAAGGGTACTGCAACTTGAACAAGTATCTCAGCACGATCAGGAGTGTGGAGGATCCTGAATGCATATAATGTAAAAATTATGAATAGACTTCTATTCACATCCTCAGTGGCAGCAAGGAATATCCATTTTGGGGACAGTATCCTGAACCCAGAGTGGGTATTGCTAGAATCAGAGATTGGCTTCATTCATTTGATTCAACTCTCGAACTTGATAAGAATACAATGAGAATGCATTTCTTCTAACTTCTGCCAACAGACGAAATCAGAGTTTGAACATCAATAGTACAAACGAAAGTATGAACGAAAGAGAATCCATGAAATATCTAGGTATTGAAATGGGTAGACACATTTTTTACTCAGTATTTTAGAAAATGATCGATTTCAAATGAGAAATAATTCATCCATATCTTCTTTAGAACCATTCAAAATATTTGAAAAGATGTATCAAGTGAAATACCTGATTCGTAAGTGGTTCTGTTTGGGAGAAGAATGTAGCTACTATGAATTAATCATTACGATTTCTATATCATCATCAATTCAATGCAATGTAACTGTACTCTTAGCTAGTGAATCATTGTTCGAATAACACCAAAGTAGTAAGATGAATGCCAGAATCTCGGTCATATTGTGCATCTATTGTGATAAATATGTACCCAAAACAAATAAACCAATTGTAACTTCTCTACAAATCAAGGATGGTCACATAATTGCATAAATTTTATGCCCATTCGAGCTCTAATAACTGTTCCAATGGCGTAACAGAAAAGAAAGAACGAGAAGTTTTGAACCTTCGAATCCCATGTATGCCATGGTAAAAGCAAACTGGTGAAAAATATTTTATATTGATATTATGCAGTATGCACGTGATGGTAATTAGTAAAAGTCTGGGCAGACTTTTTCTGAAGGAAACGTGTCACATGTACTAATTAAGATATTGTGATTAGCCACTACTTACGTTATTCTATAACGTGAGAAATTCTTTGATAATATCATTTCCTTATCTATCGTTGTTATTCGGTTATCAGTTAGACATTTGTCAATTTGAACATTTTGTATCTTCTGTTTCATCAGGAGATACTATATGTTGTTGTTATTAAATCTAACATTGATTCGATGATGATCACTAAAATATTGTTGTAGATTTGAATCATTCGTTTTCTCAATCCCTTCATTGATGATTTGTTGATTTCCTCGTTTATGATGGGAAGCTCTTGAATTGAATAATAATAAGTGCATTCTCCCTTCATAATAAGGTTGGATTGTTGAGTACCATTTCATGGGATTTTATTGATTTACTGTTATGGAACTCTTGACGAATTTGCAAGTACATAATTTCTGTGTTAGGATATGGAGAATGTGAGAATCGAGAAATGTCAATTATCTTCGTTATTCTACAATATGCTTCAGAGCTTCTATTATTTACAGTGTTCAGGAGCGCACGAAAGAGTATCCCTCTAATGTGCGAGAAACATCAAGTGTACCTAAGGAGGATAGGGAGAGGAGGTAGGTATTGCTTGAACTGTTGGAGGTTATGAGTTCTCTAAAATAGTTTGTCTGTCAGAGAATTCTAAAGTAGAATAATAATTTCATTATTATCAATATATACATTCTCACCCAGATGGGGTCTGATGTACCCCATAATTTGAAATCCGAGAAAAAAAATCAATTGTAGATGTATTCATTTCATGATTATAAACAGAA